GTTGCCCGAATGGAGCTCATTTTTCGCCATACTCTGCGCCTGTTGTATGTCTTTACCCATTTAGACTACAACTTAAGCAAATTTCCAGTTTATTTAATGAAACTAATTAAAATACAAAAATAGTATACCTTAATCTGCAAAATAAAAAGGGACCAAATAAAATGATACAATTTCATAACATTACATTTTTTTTTTTTGGTAAGTAAATTTTTATTTCACAAACCAAATATAACATTACAACACTTGTTTTACTAGGAACTTGGACATCATGCCCCAAGTCCTATACTCATCAGACTCTATCATTGAGTACAAGAATGAAAACAACTAAAGCTATCCTCAATCTCCAGGGTACCACTTCATAGCTTGCAACTTTCTAGTTAGCTTCTTATAATGATTTCCTCAACTATGGACTTCTTGTACTATCAACCGATAATGATCTCCTTTGTCCTGGACTTGCCTTGAAATATCCTCAAATTCCTTTCCATCCATATATGGTAGACACACGCTGCCATGCATAGTCTATACATATTAGCCATTGCTGACTGTCTTTTTGCATGAACCTCTGCCCATTGAACTTCTTCAGACCATCCTTGAGCTCTCTTTTTGATTCCCTGCCATTCCAATAATCTCTCCCACATTTGCGATGTCATTTCACATTTAAAGAATAGATGCTTAGCTGTTTCTGGTTCTCTTGCACACAGTGGGCATGTCAAGTCTTCAATCTGACTCCATTTAGCTTTTCTATCCCTGTTTGCAATCTCCCTTGTAAGTTTAGATACAGTATAAACACCCATCTAGGAGACCCGTAGTTGTTACATATCAGTCTTCTCCAAGAGCATTTAGGGAACTCACCTTGAATCTCCTGTACATTCTTTGAATAGAAAAGTTCCTTATCAGTATGAATTCCCTCTATTGTAGTCTCACTTCTTCCAGGCATTTTGCTGCTTTTAAGATCTTCTGTACAATCCAAGATGCTTGCTTAGGTTGACTCATCCACAGTGTGGTTCTTCTCCCATAGTAGCAATGTATCTACTTCACCCATAGCTTATCCTTTTTGGTACAAACATTCCAAAGTAGTTTGCATATAGCAGCCTTATTCCAAGCTTGAATATCCATGATATTTAGTCCCCCTGCAACTTTGGGAATACAGATTTTATCCCACATAATTAGTGCCCTTTTTGAATTATCTACTCCTCCAGCCCATAAGAATCTTTTGCAAACACTTTCGACCAATTGAATCAGCTTCTTTGGTAAGGTAAATATTTGAGACTAGAATGTTTGGATTGAAGAGAGGACACTTTTGATTAGTTGAAGTCTCCCTGCATAAGACAGTAACTTAGATGTCCATCTTGTAACCCTGCCTATTATCTTATCGTGACGACCCGACCCGTCGTCTCATGTGTTACAGCCCCGTTTTCCCCATTTACTGCTTCTTCATGTTTCATTATCAGCAACGAGTGAGTTATAGTTGAATTGAATTGGTTTGGATAGGAAATGAGACACTTAGTCTCTTTAAGGAAGGCTTAAGTTGGAAAGGTCAACCGGACGTTGACTTATGAGTTAGAAGGCTCGGATGTGATTTCCGGTGTTTCGGTTAGCTTCGGGGGATGATTTGTGACTTGGGAGTGCGATCGGAATTGATTTTGGAGGCCCGGTGTAGAATTAGGCTTGAATTGGCGAGGTTAGCATTTTGGCGAATTCCGGTGGATGGGTGAGAATTTGATCCGGGGATCGGAATGGAATTCCAAGAGTTGTTGTAGCTTCGTTAAGTGATTTTGGATATGTGTGCAAATTTTCAGGTCATTCGGATATCGTTTGGTCGGGTTTTTGATCGAATGTGCAATTAGGAAGTTTTTAAGAAACTTAGGCTTTGATTTGAGGATAATTGAGGATTTTGATGTTAAAGATAGTGTTTTGATGGTTCGAGCGAGTTTGAATAAGGTAATAGATCATGTATGTGCTTTTGGTTGAGGTCCCGGGGGCCTCGGGGTGAATTCGAGTGGTTAAACGAGAGTTTTTGGAAGTTGCTTCAGGTCTGAGATTTCTGTCATCTGGTATTTCCGCTTCTGCGGAAATGGACCGCAGAAGCGGTTCCGCAGAAGCGGGTGGAAAAGCGCAGAAGCGATCTTGTGTTGAATTGATGAGTTCCGCATAAGCGGGCCCCTTTTCGCATCAGCGGGTCCGCAGGTGCGAGTGAATAACCGCATAAGCGGTCTTGGGTAATCCGCAGAAGCGGAGAATATGTTGCAAAGGCGGAAGTGGTAAGTTAAGTGAGAAACCGCTTAAGCGGGGAAATGGCCGCAGAAGCGGTCCCGCATATGCGGAAGCGGGACCGCATAAGCGAAAATCGCTGTAGGCAGAAGGGGTTTTATAATATCATTTTCATCCGCGAGGGTTATGTTATTTCCACCATTTTTTAGCGAGCTTTGAGAGCTTTGAGGCGATTTTGAAGAGGGATTCAAGGAAGAATGATTAGAGGTAAGTTCCTTGGCCTAAATTCACGAGATTTTGTTAGATTTAACATGGAAATTGGTTGAAATTCATCAAAAGGGGTAAAGCTAGGGCTTGAGTTTTTGATATTTTAAATTGGAATTTGATAGGTCATTTGAGCTTGGATTTGGGAGTTCTTGGTATGTATGGACTCGTGGCGAGACGAGGAATCCGGTAATGTAAATTTTATAATTTTTCGAGAAGCGGGCCCGGGGCTCGGGTTTTGCTAGTTTCGAGATTCTTGCTAATTTCGATTGTTTTCGATTGGGTATTGTTCCCTTAGCATATTGTGATGTATTCGCTCTATTTTTGGTTAGATTCGACGCGCGTGGAGGCCGATTCGAGGGGCAAAGGCGTCGCGAGCTAGGGATTTCACCGGTTCGAGGTGAGTAATACTTGTAAATGATATCCTTAGGGTTTGAAACCCCGGATTTGCACATCATAGTGCTGTATTGTGGTGACTTGCACGCCAGGTATGAGCGTGGGGTAGAGCACCGTTGGGAATTGTGACTTGGTCCGTCCCGGTTGTTGATTTTACTGCGTAATTGACTGAAACCTACTTGATGCTATCGTATTTGGGTTGATTGCCATGTTTTGGGCTTCGTGCCGATTATTTGAATCCTTTAGGGATTATTATCACTGTTTTCATGAAATTTAGCATGTTAAATGACTTCAGTCCTAGTTAAACACTGTTTTGAAATGTGCAGTCATATTGCTAAAAGTTTAAAGACTTAAATTGCATTTTTCTGATGTTTTGAGTTAAAAGCTATTACTTGACATTGCCCGAGTGGCTCATTTGCATTGATCTGGACTGAATATGGATCGGGCTGCACGCCGCAGTGATACTATGATGATATTGCGCTTGGGCTGTAGGAGCCCCTCCGGAGTCTGAACCCCCACAGTTAGCGCGGGTACCCAAATGGATCGGTCTACACGGCGCAGCGGTCATGTGCATTGCATTGCATTCATGCATTGATTCCTGTTTGTACTACGTGTCATGACATTCAGCACTCTCATATCATTGGCATCCATGCTACTTCTTGCACTGTTTACCAGATACCCTGGTGTTATTTGTTGATGGAGTGCTGTGCCCGAGGGGCTGACTTATGTGCGGACTTGCACTATCTGATTACGCATTCATTTGCTTGACTGTTGGAAAAGGATATTTTCAAAAGAGGTTTTTAAACTGAGCCAGATATTTTCTAAAGGATTTTTCACGGTTTTACTGTTTTCTCAAAGGGTTGTACTGTCCTATATAGCATGATGGGTGCTCTTACGTGATTTCTTTCCTCTCAGTTATTATTTATTCTTATTACTCACTGAGTTGGAAGTACTCACTTTACTCCCTACACCTCGCGTGCAGTTGCAGGTATTGTTCACCCGGTAGCGGGTTATTAGCTGATTGAAGGTATTACTATTGTAGCTGAGTAAGGTGACCGCTAGCGTTCGCGGCACCGGATGTTGTCTTTAGCATTCCAGAATTTATTTTTGTATAATATTGGCCCTGTAGTTGTGATCAGGTTCCTTTAGATGCTCGTGACTTGTGACACCCCGGTCGGGTTGTGCTGGGTTGTAAATACTGGTTATGATTGTCGTTAAGCTGTATTTATCTATTCAATTATGTTTAAAAATTGTTAAGAGACGATTTGGGTTAGTTGGCTGGCCTTGTCTTCACGAGAGGCGCCATCACGACCGGGTATGGAAATTGGGTCGTGACACTTATCAATTAGGGTTTACATTGAGCCAAGGACAATCTTTTTGTGCTAAGAGGCACCCCTAAGTAACTTTTAGGAAGTTCTCCTTTTAAGAAACCTAGGTGGTCAAGTATGTCAAGCTGTAATTGCCGGTTAACTCCACCAAACTAAACACTGCTTTTTTCCACATTTGCCTCCAGACCTGACACTCTTGAGAACATCTGATAACATGCATACAAAACTTTCACAGAAGCCATACCACCTCTACAAAACAGTAGAAGGTCATATGCAAAACCAAGTTGTACTATGTTCAACTTTGCACACTTTGGATGGAATCTAAACTCCTTATTCTCCTTCAGTCCCTTTAGAACTCTTGTGAAATATTCCATGGCTAATACAAATAGGAAAGGGGATATAGGGTCACCCTGTCTGAGTCCTTTCTTTGCTGGGAATGGCTTCATAGGATTTCCATTAATGAGAATGGAATAGGATACTGTAGTGACACACTTCATGACCCAGTGAATGAAGATCTCTGGGAAATTCAGTTGAATTAAAATCTGTTCTAGAAAGCACCACTCCACAGAATCATATGCCTTCCTCATATCAGTCTTCATACAGCATACTGGAGAGATAAACTTCCTGTTATACCCTTTAACTAGTTCATGACTTTGTATAATATTGTCTGATATTACCCTTCCAAGAACAAATGCTGACTGACTATCATCTACCATATAATCCATTACCTCTTGTAGTCTGCTAGTGATGAGTTTGGAAATGATCTTATATATGGTGATGCAACAGGATATTGGTCTGAACTCAGCTATTCTGGATGGATTCTGCACTTTGGGTATCAAAGTCTGTGGTGCAATTAATTGGCTTGTAAACCTCAGTTGTTCTGAAAAACTCTTGGACTGCCTCAACTAATTCATCACCTATAGTTTTCCATGTCTTCTTAAAAAATACAGCATTATATCCATCACACCCTGGGTCTTTGGAATCTTCTATACTTTGTAGATCCTGGTAGATCTGTTCCTTAGTCACAGGAGCTATTAGCTTCAATTGCTGATCTCTTGTCAACACATTCCCTCTCTTCATTACTTTAGGTTCAATAGCTGGAATTTCCACTGCTGCTGATCGTAGAAACCGTTTGTAGAATTCAATGATTTCCTATTGCACCTCCTCTTGATTTTGGGTATGCATCCCTGTCTGAGTGAGCGGCCTAGTGATTTTCTTTTGGGTATTTCTATTCTTGATACTAGCATGGAAGAAAGCAGAATTTGAATCACCAAGCTTTAGCCACTGAATTCTAAACTTCTGCTTGAGTATACTTTACTCTACCATAATCCACTTTTCCAGCTTCTCTTTAAGATCTTTTTCACTGCTCTTCAATCCCTCTGAGTGATTAGGAATTCTCATTTCCAATTGTACTTGTTGTAGTTTCTCTCGAATAACTTGGATCTTTTCAGGAATTCTACTATACTCCTCAACATTTAACTGCTTCAATCCCTTTTTCAGCCTCTTTAACTTCATCCAAATTCTTTGCATAGCAGGGATCTGCATGTTAACTTTCTAGGTTTCTTTGACTAGCCTTTGAAACTCCTTATGCTCAGCTAGCTTATTGAAGAACTTGAATGGTTTAGGCATAGGTTTCTAGGTGATCATGCTCAAAGTAAACACAAACAGAGGTATGATCAGAGAAGAGAGGATCCTGCAGTACCACCTCTAACTGTGTCATATTCATCATCCATCTAGCATTAACTAAAGCTTTGTCTATTCTGCTATATACATGATTGTTTGTCCACGTAAATTCTCTGCCAACTGTTTTAAGTTCTGTCATTCCTGTGTTCACTAGAAATTTAGAGAAGTCTCTAGTTTCTGCCTCCATAACAGGGTTACCATTATACCTATCTTCAAAACTTTGAATGGCATTGTAGTCTCCCATAGCAATCCAAGGTCCTTGTAGCTCATTATGCAACTGTTCTAACTCTTCCCACATGGCCTTTCTATGTTCAATGGTATGTAAACCATATACTGCTGTCATCCAGAATTCTTTATGACTTTGGTGTATGATAATTTTCCCAGTGATTAACTGTTCAGAACAACTATGAATGGTAAAGTCTAGTACTCCATGATCCTACAAGATCCATATTCTCCCTCTATTACTAGCCACATAATTATCTGTCCACTTCCAATTCCTCGAGATTTTTTGGATAGTTTTCCCTGCCATAGGTTGTTTCACCTTGTGCTCAATTATTGCTATCAAAACTACTTTATTGTCTCTAAGATACTGCTTTATTTCTCTTTGTTTATAGACTTTATTCAAGCCTCTAACATTCCATGATACTATATTCATCTTGGTATAAAAGGATCATCTGTCTCCTGCATTAATTCCCACCTATTCATACTGCTAGGCCCCAAGCTTACTTGTGCAGGCACCTGAGAACTTGAGGGATCAAGGGTATTGAAACCATTTGATGTGCTCACCCTCATGTTCTTTTCCACATTTCTTGAGCCCTTTGATACAAACTTGTTCTTAATAGTCTTCCAACCTTCATCATCTGTATTTATTGCTGGACTTTTTGAAAAGTTCTGTGGCTGTGCATTTTTAATTCCCTTCCGCTTCTCATACTGTATTTGAGTTTGTGGAATAGCATCCTTTTGTATGCCATGATCCCTTTGTGTACCCCCTTCCTCATGCCCTATTCTCCTCTAAAATTGTTGAGGCTTCTGGTTTCTCCAGTTTTGTTTTGGCAGAGCTTCTTTCTGTGGTTCCTGGCACACGTGTCCTAGTTGCAAGCATTTATTACAATACATAGTCATCCAATCATACCAAACTTCCTGTACAAATTACCTTCCGTTTGGATCTTCCACCATGACCTGTTTTGGGAGAGGTCTAGTAACATCCATCTCGACCAAAATTCTGGCATATGATAAACGTTCAACCTTAGTGGTGCAAGCATCAACATATATAGGAACTCCCAATGTACTATCAATTCTACTTAGCGAGTCATCCTCCCTGCAATTCAGTGGCAGCTTAGGAAGTTGAATCCATAGTAGGATGGTCTTCAGTACTTCATTTGCAAAATCAAAAGCAGCATTCCACATTTTAACCACAATTGGTTTGCTATTCATCATATAAGGTCCCAAATACAGCACATCAGCTCTATCCTCCATAGCAGCAAATTTTACCACAAAATACCCATCATTATGAAAGTATATTGAGGGTTTAGCAACAAAATTCCATTGGAATGTGACAAATCTTTCAAATGCAGCTATAGTAGGAGTTTTACCCACTACATACATTATTACAGCCATTTTCCATCGCTCAGTATCTCTCAACCACCTCTTTGTCTAATTTGGCCACTTTAACTCCATTCTTAATCGTAGGAGCTATGTAATGTAGATTCATACCTCTAGTAGCCATCTTGTTCTCAGCAAATAGATTCTTCCATTTTGTCGCTACAACTGGCTGAGTAGGTAGCTCCAATTTCCTCTGAGCTCCAGAATCTCCCGTTTCCCTTTCACCTCCTGGTTGTTTAGGTCCTTCAATTATGACAGTTGCACTCTTACTCTGCACAGATTGTACTGAATTTGAGCTTCCAGCTATTATCGGCGGGGTCTTAAGCCCTTTTGTTAGGGCTGGCCACTGTTCCATTGGTTTTTCCTCAACTATAACCGTAATTGACTCATCTAATTCCTCTACTGACTTCCTGATTGAACCCTTCGATGGTAACTCCTTCAATTCCACACTTATTGCATGTCTCCGAGGTCGACCTCGCGGCATTTTCCGGTGAAGATGACGCACAATAGCACCAGCGCTCTATCATACGCCGAGAGCTTTTTATTAACATTACATTCTAATATATGTCAAAGTGTTGGCTATTAAGCAAGACCAACCCAAACAAAATACTGCTTAATAACCTAATACAAAGCTTTAAATGAATATCGTAGTTGAAAATTACAAAATGCATATTCCGTGCCATTCAAACTGTAAATTTAATACAAAAGCACTCCTTCATAATTTTCAACTTCCTAGAGAGCCTAGACTTCTTTCTCACGGTAATCATGTGCGAGGATGATGGGAACAAAGAGCTCAGAGACTTACTTAATTTATTCCTTGAAGAGGAGTCTATGTTCTTCAAGGAATGTTCTTTGTTTGGACACAATGAGTCCTAACTAAGGAAGTAACGAAGAGAGAGAATTGGGAGAATCAAATTTTAAGGGGAATATAATGGGATGTGGGTCAAATTTTGTTTTATAGTCAATACTGGGTCGGGTATAAATTATGTGGGTATCATGGGTTTAGTACATTATCATATTTAGTTAAGTAAATATATTAATTAAGGCTGCCACATCACTTTTCAGGTGAGAGTTTTTAAAATCTGGCTAAAATGATTTTTATAAGAACAGAAGCAAAGTAAAATAATTTTTGTGTGACAAAATAAAGAATAATGACTTTGTGTAATGAATTCAAAAGTTAGATGACCATCCATAAAATTTGCTCACATTTTTGTATATAACATACTGAAATATATATATATATATATATATATATATATATATATATATATATGTATGTATATATTTGGCTATTATTTTGAGAGCGACTAGAGTATCATTTGCCATTTAGATCCACAAGCTTGCAAGACAGTGCGTCAAACATTATCAGCATTTTACATCCTAAGATATGCGCTTCTTTTTTTCGTGTGAGTAACTATATACTTATTTGTCATGTTGTAATTTGTAAGTAATATAAAAGGAAAATAACGATTCAAATCCATGTAATGTAAGTTTTTGAAACTAATTAGGAAAGTTAAATACTACAGTTTTAAAATAGGCTGAATACATAAGTAGCCCCTTAAACTTATCCAAATTTTTCACTTAGACACTTATACTAAAACTTGTACCTATTGAACACTTGATCTATGCAAAAAGTGTTCTATTAGACACGAAAATTTGAGAGACCCCAAAACCAGAACGCGTGTAATTCACTGACAATGACATGGCAAAACAACCACTGAAATAAGGCCATGTGGCTTGTGATTCCATTAATTCAAAATATATACAGACGTCTTCTTCTTCTCCAAACATATTTGGATCACCATTAAAACCAGACTTACACGAACACGCAAAAGCTTATAGTAAGCATTTCCAATTCTTGTTAGATTTTATACTTTCGTTTTACCAGAAAGACATTATTATATCTGATATAATTAAACCCAAATTAGCAAGAATCATATACAGGCTAACCTTATATGATTATGAAAAAATTGGTGAACTCACTCAAAAAGCAAAAAAATTGGATTTGCCTCACTAAATATCATCTCTTATATAAAAGAAAAGTCTATTATCCAAAAAAAAATTGAAAGCATAAGCTCCGTAAAATAAGTGCTGCTAAGTCAACAATAGACTATTATTTTTGAATTAAACTTAGTTTTCCTATTAGTCAAGATTCGAGACATGGGTATATATTGATTGTTTTTCTCTGTGTGCTTTTTAACTCAATTATCCATGAGTTATTGGATTGGAGTTCCAGGATTGCTTAACATTATTCAAATGAGATTGATAATTATTGCTGCCAGTAGGAATTAATGAAAGTGCTCGGTCCATGCTACAATTATAATTTTTTCTATGTTAGATGGGTTGGAGCTGGAGTTGTATGAAGATATTACACAGACATTAGGGCTTTTTTAAGTTTGTGAGCAGTACACATAGAAGTGCGTGAATTTATTACTATTAAAATTTATATATGTGTCAGCTTAACTTTAATAGATTCACACGCTAAAGATACGTGATACTCACACTTTATGGCATGTCAGCATTTTGTGTTTGATAAAACACTTTTTGCATAGATCAAGTGTTCAATAGGTACAAGTTCTAGTATAAGTGACTAGGTGGTAAATTTGGATAACTTTAAGGGCCTGCATATGTATTCAGCCTTTAAAATAAATAGTTGGCTCTTCTTCTTCTCTTCTTCCGGTTACGGAAATGGTAGATGAACAAGCTGATACTTATTCGTAACCAGCATATTTACATTAATCATCATTTAATCATGATAAATTACATTATTTGATACATGCACTGAATTCAAATATTTTTTTTTGCAGTGGGAGGTTCCAAATGCAGTTAAAGTTTATAGCCTGTTTGGCCAAGCTTTTAAATTCAATGTTTTTCGCAACAAGCACTTTTCAAAAGCACGTTTGGTGAGAAGCGGTTTGTGTTTGAATGATTAATTTGAAAAATACTTTTGAGCAATAATTAGTGTTTGACCAAGCTTTTAAAAAGTGTTTTTAAGTCTATTTTTCTTAAAAGTTTTTTTGCAAAAAAGTATTTATTTTTACTTCTCAAGAAGTGCTTCAGCTTCTACTTTAAAACACTTTTTTCCTTCTAAAAGTTTGGCCAAAAACCTTAACTTTAAAAGAAGGAACACTTTTGGCTAAAAAAAAGCTTGTCCAAATAGACTATTATTTTCATCGGGTGTTTACACCAAATCATATTAATATATCATAGTTAAGTGATAAAATATGGTAAGAATGAGTATTAATTATCTATAATTTAGT